AATGTCAGTGTGATTGTGAACGGTAAATAACACAAGAACATTGAACCCGATCTCTCCTAATGTGTTCCAAGATGCAGTTAAGTGGAGTTTTTGTGCTTGCTTCACGTTAAGGTGTCAAAAGCTAAAAGTGGAAAACCGTGCAGGCGTTTGGGTATATCAGAATCTCGTTCACGAATCTCAGAGAGCTAACGGATTGGTGGTAGGTTTTTCGCTTTAGCAATGCAAATTCTGGTGTGTTTTTTTATGAAAATAGTATGCCTTCCAAGCAAACGTTTCAGATATCTGCAATGTGTTCATCATCAAGCTAAGCGACAGGAATGAAATATACTGTTCTGATAACTTTCTGTGTCAATACACCGAATCGCAAGTTTAACTGGGAGAACATGATGATAAATCTTGTATCTGCAAGCAGTATGTACATTTCTACTTTACCAGCGGGAACTCGGCTCTATTTCTGACGTCCACGGTATCCTGGTTGTTTGGTCAGGAACCGAGGTTTGCGGTGAACACCATTTGCTGAGAATTTATTAAATAATTTCGAAATCAGTCCCATTTCTCTGGCAGTTGCGTTCACGCTTTTGACCATTGAATGATTACCCATGGACGATTTCAAGCGCGGAACCCTGGAGGTTTCTGCTCAGGTTACCGACGTAACATGGTCTAGAGGTAGATTAAGGATGCAGCGTCTGTATTACGTTTCAATGGTCCACAAGATCACACTCTTAACTACTGAGCGCCTCTAGACATTTTAGGAAATACAACACATGGGACAAAGGAAAGAGGAATAGTTTATACGTTTTTTCAATCTCACGAGTATATTTACCATAGTCTTATAGTTACGTACAGAAGCACAAAATCTTACCGAAAGGTTATTTTGAACGTGGATGCAAACTATCCTACGTCTTAAACTATATTTTTACTTGAAATCAATTACATGTTAATGATAATTAAGTGTGACATTAGTAAGGGTTATTAATCTAACCACACGACATCACCCCTGCAGGTCGGGGATTGACAAAAACATATACCTGCTGTCGCCCACTGCTACATGTAGCCCTAGTTTCCTCTGGCCCTGACACCAGACTTAGACATTTTGGTAGAAAGATGTTTGGTGTTACTAGCCCGAGTTTCCTCTAGCCCCGACACCAGACTTAGACATTTTGACAGATATGTGCCCACTTGTCAAAATGTCTAAGTCTGGTGTCAGGACCAGAGGAAACTTGGGCTAGCCAACTGCATGATCTTAAGAGATGATAATGTAGGAACCTCCCGCATAATTGGGGATTTGCGGTTATGTCCTCTATTTGGGGACACAAAAGCGACCAAAATAAATCTGCTGCACCCATTGCAATATTTGGTATCTTTGTATTTTCTCTACTTCTAACTACCTTTCGTGTCCTAACGCTTTCATTGGCAATACCTCACTTTTGGCTTTAATGTTGAACGTTCGCCCAGGTTAGGAAGGCAATGGGCTCTGTCCCCATGCCAGGACACATACCAATGTTCTTAAATTCCCTGCCTCGCGCTCAGTATTTGAAGTAAAGGCAACAACTGGCTCATCCGTTGTCATTGTAATGTGACTGGGCAGGATTCCTTCGGCATGGTATTTCAGTGAGGTATCACTATAAAGTCGGTATAAGATCCGCGCTACCACAATGAGGTAAATACACCAACATACCCTGCCTCCAATACACAAACACACATGCACGTAACGTACACAACAAACTTGGAAACACGTTTTAAAATTACCTTACTGTTGATAAGACGTTTAACCCTATTAACCATCCAACCAAATGACAAGGACTCGCTATATTTGTTTTATCAGTATATGAAATCGTATTTGCAGGAGCATATTATTGGGACCTGAGAATTTGTTACAGCTACATTTTTACCGAAAGACGACCTAAACCCCTCAAACCTGTCAACTTACTCTGAACACCTTAGTTTAGGTCCAAATATAGCTGTAACACATTTCCAGGCCTCTGTGGAGCATACGAATCTTGTAACGACAGAAAAGCAAACTTGGAAAATAGAACAAATGGGCCACTAAAATAAAGAGCCTACTCAGTGGGAGTCTACGGGAGTTTTGGGGCGCGAGACATCCCCCACCCTGGGGAATTCACCGTAAAGCAATTTTACTTTCCTCATCTGGAAAGCCTGTCTGGACAATCTGCCAACTCCTCCCCTTTCTCACTTATCTTTACGTACCCGACTTGACCCTAGACACCACGCGTTACACAGGTGTAATGTCCAGTAAGAAAGGAGTTGAACTTGAGTGTTAAAAGGTCATATGAGAGAGTGTAAATAAACGATAAAACTGTTGTAGATTTTGGCTTACGTGCTTGTACATTATTTACAGGTAAGGTATCCACCACATTAAGAAATAGTAAAAGAAAAAATATACAGATGAAATGAAGAGAGCTGTTTGATGTTTAGAATTGGAAAGGGCATGTGTTATTTTTTAAAACAGATTTTGGATAAAACACATCTAAACACGAGTTAGAAAACAACTTTTGCAATGGGTTGAATACATTGAGTAAAGCACTAGCATGAAAGTGGAGCTTTGATATTGCTTTTGGTATACATATCTAATAATACATAAAATGTATCTTTGCCATCGATGTTAAAATCGTACGTGTTATATATTGATTTATTGATTTTTCAGATCGTTAATTGACCTCCCGACCAACTGTTAGACAATTACCTTCTGGAACACACCAGTACAACATGTGTTGAGTAATTAATGAGTCGTGAACACTCAAAAACTGTACAAATTCACCACTGTTTTTACCTAAACAGTATACAAAAGTCACAAGACCTGTATAACTTTCTTACTTTTCTACGGAAATAAAGTATACAGATGTCATAAAACAGCGGACTTCCCATCAATAGATCTCGCCCGACACCTTTCTATCTTTCTCTTTATAATAATCACTAGCAGGAGGGCAATGGTGGAATCAATACATTTTTAATTAGAATAGCACCAGCATATGCATAATCACAGAGAAACGCTCGGCAGGGGACACATATTTCCATAATGATACCATTCATAATTATTTGATATTATTACCGATAGGCAAATTAAACTTCCTTTCTTAACACAAGGGTTAGTAACAGAGGTACCCGAACAAATATCGGATGAACGTCAAGTTAGGCAATTCAATCTTCAACAGCCAGATACTCCTGACCAAAGGTACTTGTTACAATATTTGATCTAGGATTTCACTGCACCAATACAACCGCATATTGTTTAAATAAAGTTGGTACATGTACACCCCATTTGGCCAAACTTTGGGTGTACAAGTCTATTACTTAGAACAGACACTAAGAAATGAAGAGATGAAAACATGCTACCGGGATTGGCGCCTGGATTCTGAACGGCCCCTGGGAGTTTAGTTCATGTGTCATGACATGGAAGGTGTTGGGATCCATGCCATATATGCATTCCAAAAGCATGAAATAAATACAATCATGCTACCTATGAATTCGCATAAGGGTATGATCCTGCCCCTGGGGAAGTAGTGACCAATGATAACATGGAGACGGTTGAGATTCCTACCCAGTAACCAAGTATGCATTTGTTGTGGTCAAGACGAGACGAACAGTGTCATCCTTAAAGGATTTCCCCAGGGGTCCGGACACTGGGGACTGTCTTAGGATCATAACATTGAAACGGTTGATATATTTTCCCTATCATCGTAAAAAATATACCCATTCTGCTAGGATTGACCCTGTCCCTTGGGACTTAGTCCTTGTTGTATGTTTCAGCTCATATCTTGCACTCTTTAGATATACATGTACCATACTCCACCATTTTGAAAGATAAAATTCCAGGTGAGCTATTGAGGTCGCTGGACCTCTTGTACTGTGTGGCATGTCAGTCATTTCCGATTCCTTTATTTTGGTCACTGAATGTTCCTTTTCTGATGTTCACAAATCGGACACCAAGCTGTCTTCCTGTCTCCCGACGTTCCATGTGTCACATTTCTAGCACCCGATTGTGTGTACACATTCTGTAACTTTTACCTATATTTTATCCTAATGTGTACTAGGATGTAGGGGTGTTAAGTACATGGTTTCATGGCTGTTGCTTTTTCATTGTCACGTCATATCCGATCGATGGTTTTGGGCCATTTATTTCTATAAGGGATGACGACCTGTTGTGTTGTGACAGTAATATCACTGTAGTTACAACACCCAACTTCTAGTGCCGAGTGGTTAGAACCGAAGTTTAAGTATATTTTTTTGTATTGACCAACACCTTCAGGTGTTCTTTCAAATTTCTTGACATGTCTTTAAATGTCAAGGAGCGTCATCGTAATTTTCTTTTCGTCGTCATATGCAAATACGATGCTTGTGCTATTAAATCATTCCGTGATCCTTCCTTGACGACCACTTTTAGTACATCGTTAATATGTCGATTCAAGATTGGCTTGCGCTATATGAAGGCAAATTCGGGTACAGACCAATCAGCGTCAATTTGTTCTAATCTTCCTTAAGCCAATGCGATTCTATGTTATATAAACGGGGGGCGAGCCCTGGGTCAGGGCCCAGAAGGGGAAATAAACGTTAATCTTCAAAATTCTACTCTGTGAGTATGTTAAGGAATTTTAACCTTAACATGTATTTGGTTTTGAGGATCCTTTGAACAAAAAGATTCTTAATATTGAATAAACAGAGAGAACTACCTTCCGAGGGCAGAGGACAGGGCAAATATTGTATTATTTTACCAGTTTACATAACAAATCAGGCAAAAATTTAAGACAACTGTAGTCTGAAACTCTGAGAGTCTATCAAATTTCTCCCTTTGTGTCTAAAACCAAATTTGTATTTGTGTTAATTTTATTGTTATCCAATCAAAAACAGCCTAAAATTCAGTCTGTAATGTACAATGATGAGACAAATTCCAAGCGACATTTAAACAGCTCTGCCGATTTTTTGTGTGAAGAAATAAGTCATTGTAGGCGACACAACAGAAAAAATGACCGAATATTCAAAAACTGATTTTCTCTTTTATTGAATCACAATGGAATGGGATAAGAGTGCTTATCCATATCAATTTTCATACAACCACATCAGTGAAAATAAACCAGTTTTCCGATCAAACCGATTTATTTACGTTCATTCATTGTGATGTATACCTATATGAAAACAATACAAGGTATTAAGTTGACTGAATAATTTTACCACATTCTCTCACCCTGATCAGCACAGAAAACCTTTTTAAAATTCAGGTAAAATAAAAGCCATGGGTCTGCAACAAAAGTACGCAAATAAACATAACAACAAATTTCGGTCTGTACATTATGTAATAACAAGAAGGCCACAGGGCCTCTATTAAAGATGCCATGAACTTAAACATGTGCTGGTAGAAATGCATCCTGATACTCCAGGGGTTACGCTCACTTTCGCTCTCTGCACTCATAGCAAAATTGAAGACACAAAGACAGCCGTTTGATTGGTCTCCGGTAAAAAAACAACACCTGACCAATCGCTAGGCTGATACCTGTCCTTTGAAGATGACAAAGGAGCAACACCTGACTTCAAAGTCAGTCAATTTTTACCGTTACGTAACCGCGAGATTCTTTTGATGCACATCAAAGGATCGAACTAATCTTCTTGTCTCAACAACTGGGTGGCACAAACTGAGCCTTCCAATATGCTATGACATATTCCAGGGGTGCAGAGAGCGAAATTGAGTGTTACCCCTGTTACCCCTGGACATCGAGGATGATAGAAATGTTGGTCCAGGTAAACTGGCAGTAATTAACTCAGCCAGCTACGAGCTAAATATCACAAACGACCTTATGGCTTGTTAGAAGTCACAGAAGATTTTTAACATGTGACCCCGGTGACTTTGATCATTTGAATGAAATGAAGCCCAACAAACTTAAGACGAAATATAATGGTAGGCCCTGTGGTTTTTTAGAAGGCAGATGTTCTTTAAAGAAAATGGTTGACGGTTGGACAACGGACAACAGACAATGGATGCAGCAATATGTCAAGAGCACACCTTGGTCATTTAGACCAGATGAGCTAATAATATACTGATACAGATATGTGCATATAATATCAATATAAATACTTTATACAAAATCATACATACTAGATTGACAGTAAAACATGCTATAGCACCGTACACCAGGACAAGCTACAATTTACTTCCTTTGTATGGAAAGAAATTCTGTAATTATGGATTGGTTTTGGGCATGCAATTTTCATCTGTTTATTAGAATGTTGTTGTGCAATGGGAATTTTTAATGTCTCAGCTCTTTGGTTATTTAAATTAACCAAAATGTAAAACCCTGTATGCAATAAGTAGGATTTATCTCATATGTAATCAGTGTTAAATAACCCACATTATAATAGTGTACTCATATGTTATGATTGTGAATAAACCATCTGTTCTTTCTGTGAATTAACCCCTTTTTCTACTTTTTTGTTTCTTTACTCATTAATAACTACAACTGTCAGTCCTACTAATGCCCTTTCTTTCTTCCCCTCCACAGTAAAAATGACAAAAATGAAAAATTATATTTTTATATTTACACTATATTATTAAGTGATGACGATGGGTGCGAACTTTCCTAGTCTGTTTGAGGTGTTATCAGCAGTTGTCTATACGGAACAAGTTCTAGAAATGTCCCTCAAACTACTCAGTAGTTGTAAATGAAGCATTGCAAAAGATGTTATTCTAATCCGCCCAACAGACCTTGACCATGGCCAATAATACACCATCTAAATCAACAGCGGCCAACTCAAACCCAGAAACTTGAAAGTTTATTTGTTTAAATAAAGTATATCCCTTAACATATCACCCATACATGTATATGGCTAAATGGACCTCCAGCTATAGCCTCAATTTTGCACTACCAATGAATCAATGGTCACAGTGGCCATCTTTAATTCTACAATTAAATAGCCAGTCATTTGACATGAAGTATACACCCTATGAATCAATATTACAAAGTATAAACAAAGTCGGCCAAACAGCACTTGGGTTATAATGTATTTGTCTTTGTAAATCTGAGACCATGTTGTCATTTTGAATCTCAAAATTAAAAGTCAATCATTTTAGATAAAGTATATCCACTACATTTTAATCCTACAAAATAAAGACTACCCAAGATCACTACCATCATATAAGTAACAATTTAAGCCAATTAGAAGTCTAAGTGGCCGTTTTGAATCCAGAAAATTAAGAATTAGCCATCCAATGTGAAGTAACCACCATGTACCATTTATATAAAGTTTCATTGAAATAAATAATGGGCAACTATTCTAGTAAAGAAAAATTGTAACTGAAAAAAAATGAGGTGTGCAACTTTGTGATTAACTGATCATTCATATAAAGTTTTGTTGAAATTACCTTCATAGTAAGGAGTTGTCCAGACAAGTTTTCACCCATGGACAGACAGAACAGCAGACAAACTGACTGACAAACAAACTGACAAACAGATTCCAGTACATTTATATGCCCTTACTTTGTTGCAGACAGTATAATAAAATTCTACCCAAAATCAAAGTCAAGCCAGGTACGTTTTCTACTCCATTAGCAAAAAGATACTTGCGTAATCAGAAAAGGTCTAAGTCAGTTCACAAGTGAAGAAATACATTGTGTAGCCCTTCACACAATTAACAATACACCAATAAATAGTCACTACATGTATCAGGAAATGTGTGTCCATGCTGCAGGTTGTAAGCTTATCATCAATACTACACATTTGTTTGTACTGTTGTCAAGATATGCTAAATTTGGGAAAGATTGCAATAAAATCATTTCAGATATTTGTACAAATAAACAAAAATGGAATTTTTTAATGATTAAAAATCTGAAATATCCTATGAAAGTCAAACTAAAATTTAGAATAAACTAAAAGTTACATTTCTTTATCAACAACTACTGTATAACATTTTGCAGTGCAGATCATACTTTTCCAATAGCATCATTTAATCTCTGCTAGAATATCTACAGCGTGAAGGATGTACCTGTTTTCTGTCGTACATTTACTCCAGGAAATGTATGGGCTCTTAATTCACGATTACACTAATAGACAGGATGTACAAGAGAGAGGTATACAATAAGTGTGCTTACCTTCAGTACAGTATTAGCGTAACTTTACTGACAATACATCCTGTCTGTACACAGGTAAACTTGATAACATATCCGACACAGATTGAGTATGTAATCATTCTTCTCTGGGTCAATATCACAGGCAAGAAAAATCAAAATACATGTACCAGTAACATAACTTGAGAATATTAATAATTTAAACATGATAACATTTAAAGTTAAATTAAAACATGCATGGAGGATTGTCTGCACTCCAGTGCCAAAACTTGCTGGAAAATACACAGTGCAGTCAAAGACGTATTGTTTGTCTCAATTTTTAGTGATTAAAAGGCTAAATGAACTTACTACAACAGAGAATTCTACAGTATATTTGTTATGGGACACATGTCCGTTAAACCTGTGAACAGACACAGCACTATAGACTCATGATCAGGTGAACACTTCATAGCTTCTTCTGCAAACTAATGGATACTAGGTACTAGGAAATTCTCGTCCAGTCAAATTTTCACCCTGATAAAATCCATATTGGTCCAGCATTAATATTGCCCTTGAACAATGTAATTACAAATTATATTATTATTATCATTTTAATTTGTCCTCATTATATTTCGTGGTACACTGTATTATAGTAGAACCACTTTCTATTGATTGAGTACTCCCTACACACCCTTAACTCTTTCTTACATATCCTTCACTTGGACCACAAACATATCTTTTACAATAATGTCCTTGATGATTCTTTACATTTGTTATATTATAAATCCTTTACCACAACTCCCACAACTCTCTGGATTCCAAACAAATCCTTTACAGGAACACTCCTGTCAATCTTTTACTATAAAATATCTTCAGTGTAACTATCACAAATTTCATATTGATTAGCACAGGGTTTGAACTGGAGCAATATTCCATGAAATTATATTATAAGTATATAGCCAACCACTGCACTGACTGAAATGTCCAGTCACTTGTAATGAAAGTTCTTGCATCTTAGTTTTACATTGACATGTACAGTGTTATGTTACAGTTTGGCAAATTGTCTTAATCAACAGATGCATATAGTTATCATGTGCGTTAGTGTTGCAGGAATTGTGGAAACATCAAGACAAAGAATGGTAGACACACAACACCAACTAGTACCCACGCAATGTCTACTATCCACGCACAGTCTACTGTCTTTATATAGTACAGTGTTACTGGACCCACGCACAGTCTATTGTCTTTATATAGTACAGTGTTACTGAACCCACGCAGTCAACTGTCTTTATATAGTACAGTGTTACTGGACCCACGCACAGTCTATTGTCTTTATATAGTACAGTGTTACTGAACCCACGCAGTCAACTGTCTTTATATAGTACAGTGTTACTGGACCCACGCACAGTCTACTGTCTTTATATAGTACAGTGTTACTGGACCCACGCACAGTCAACTGTCTTTATATAGTACAGTGTTACTGGACCCAAGCACAGTCAACTGTCTTTATATAGTAGTGTTACTGGACCCACGCACAGTCAACTGTCTTTATATAAAGTACCAGTTATGTTGTTTTCAGCTTTTCTATATTTAATAAAACATTTTCAAAGAAAACATAGGATTTTTTCTAGCCCTCCTATGTAAGACAGCAGTCATATGGCGGTGTAGGATATCTTTATCTCCCTAACCTGTGTATCCCATATATATACCTGTTGGTGAAGGATATCTCTATCTCCCTTACCTGTGTATCCCATATACATACCTGTAGGTGTAGGATATCTCTATCTCCCTTACCTGTGTATCCCATATATATACCTGTTGGTGTAGGATAGCTCCCTTACCTGTGTATCCCATATATATACCTGTTGGTGTAGGATAGCTCTATCGCCTATATATAGTTGTTCCCCACACCAGAGTGTAGAATGGAGATCTACCATTTGGAGGTCTAGATCTATGAGAATAAGAGCTATTTTGGAGGATCAAGAAAATTGGATACACTTTTAATAATATCATTCCTGTATACTGTTCAGATTTTCTGCTAGCATTAGACAATATGTGGACTGTGGTGACTATATAAGCTGTCCTGAGGACAAACGTAACTGTACACAGTAAAACATTGATCACCGATACTCCCAAAGTGACAGACCAACTTACAATATATAGCACTTATTTATATTTGAACATATAATATTTGAACACATCGGCAGAATTAGAACTAATAGTCCCTAAAACAGATACTGAAACATCCAATCAGGTCAGTATCTTGATAATAGATCTATAAATAGTTGGCTCCAATGTTAACTTGGCTGAATATTTCCTCAAAAAAGTTATCACAAACATTTTACATTTGATAAAAAGTAAGTGTTGTTTAGTATTGAAACTAACTACTGGTATATACTGTAGTCAATAAAGAAATATATTCTATTGACCATTAGGTTATTATTTGATTTTGTGGTGCATTATGTATTTCATGTATATTTTGCTTTAATTACACTAGTAATGCAACTACAGTGTATTTAAACATATGTTATAATGCAACACTCTCAGTAATAAAACTAGTAATCAGTGATTTGTCTACATCTCTTCCACAGGGGCCTGTTTGTTGTGACTTTAGGAAAATATCACACACAAAAAGCATTAATTTGTGAAAATATAGAGATTTATGCATGACATTCGAAAAATACAGCAGGAATTATCTAGAGGTAAGGGCATTATAAAAGCCTTAAATCAACCCCATGTAAATCACTGATGCAAGGCTCTACTACAGGAATGCAAGATGAGTTTATGTTTAATATTTGGAAACACTGCTGGCGTTCGTTTCTGACAAAATCTGAATGGAATACAATGTAAATTTAAGCTTAACAACGAATACAAAAACAACATCCTCAAAATTGTAGGTATAGTAACTGGTAGTAATGCTTACACATTGCCAATACCTGTCCTTTGAAAATTTTATCGAAATGTTATTGAACAATTTTTTTGATCTACAACAAAAAATAAAACTGATCTACTTGTATCATCAACAATGTCAAACGTGCGGAGCCTTCCCTTTCATCATGACATATTCTAGGGGTGCAGAGAACATATTTGAGCCTAGCCTCTGGAATTTAGAGGATGATGAAAGCTTGAGTTCATCTAAAGTTTATTCCATACCACTAAGTAATCCACTTATGTCTATATATGAAATCATCAAAAATGCTGAAGGATACACATCAAAACAAGATATGTGTCTGGTTAGATAGCTCCCTGTACACAGATCTGTTTAAGTTCACAATTACTCCATACCACTACATACTTCCGTGCTTATTATTGTGTAATACTTCTCATGATTAGTCTGACATACAAAGCTACGTTAAATTTTAAGTAAAATATTGTATGTATATCATTTATTACCTGATTAGTTAAATGCCCCTTAGTTATATGAGCCAAAATTTAACACAAATTTCTGATACAAGATCATCATATCTCATTTTGTTATTTATCATTGGCATTTATCATGACTGGATCTGATAAATATAGCAGTATAAATTTGTTCTATGTCATTGTCTTAGATCCAACAGGTCAATAGGATGACATTGGAGTTTTCTGGGCTATACTAGTAGTTCCCTTCCTCACGAAAAATAAACACAATCATAGCCCTTCAGTAGAAAGGGAGATAACTCTTTGTCTACTAGTAATTTGGTCAAAGTTCAATGTTTCTTTGAAATATCACAAAACTGCTTTCACAATTCCTGTCTGTATTTCACAACAGGAAGTTCAACAGGTCAAAGGTCTTGACCGAAGAGCATGCCATCAGAACACTTTGTAAGGTCTAAGTTTTGTGACCTTTCCATTCTTTGCTGTCCTGCACTTTCTGGATCACAGCTAGTGACTGAATCTGCTGAGTTTCCATTGTTGTTTGATTTATTCTAAGGGTCAAAAGGTCATTAGAGAAAGCCAAGAGCCCTGTCAGGTTGTCAGGTAATCCAAAGCCTTTTCTCTGTCCAGATTGTTTGTGACTAAAGCTTCTTTGATTCTGTCATGGCTAAAACCCAATTCTTTGAACTGGTGGAACGTGTCCAAATATTTCTCTGCCTGAAATAACAAAAATATTTCATAGTTTAGAAGAAAATCCATTAAATTGATGTCTCAAAATTATGCATTTTCTCACAGTTGTAACACCTGTCATATATGTAGCAATTTTTTCAGGATAACAATTTCTATTTATTGTTACAGAAAATGTATATTACAGTATTAAAACTAGATTTTGTTTTTGTGAACAAAATCATGTCTCCCCTTATTAGCCAATAGACAAACTTCCGTATATAAAATTAACAAAGGGCCATATCTCTTTATAAAGTGGGGCACAAGACCCAAATTTAGAATGCGACACTCCTACTTCCCAAGATACATTAAAATTTTAGCAAGTTTGGTCAACGTAGGTGAAACTAGAACACTGACAGGTCAGTAAGGGCCCCGTCTTGTGGCAATATATCCCCCATAATTACCGAGAAGCAATCTGCCAATATAGCTGAGCTTAACGTTTGACATTTTGACTTCAAAAAAAATTGCAAGGAAGCAAAATATACATTTTACATGTACTATGATGTGAGTCTTGTTTCCTTCCGCTTCCATATATGCTTGGCACACAGAAATGTAAATACCGGTGCAATACTCATTTGTTAGCTTTGATTTGTTTTATTTCACCTTAAATACCTCCCCCATCAAGAGCCAGGGTCAAAGTAAGAGATCCATTTTGTCTTTGACCTTTGGACCTTGACTTTTGGTCAGTTTATACCTTGTTTGAAAGTGACAAGAATTTACTGAAAATGTTGCACTTATTTGACCTTTGACCTTGAGGTGAAGGTCACAGTGACCTAATTCTAGTACACTGCACACCTTCTGTGGGTGATGCATGCATACCTAAAGTTTCATCAAGATATCTTTATCTTTAACGGTTTTAAAGTTATGGCCCGGACAAGTTGCGATTAGAAGAACCAGAAGAAGAAGATCCAGTACTAATACAATATGTCTCCCTTCATTTGAAGGGGAGACATAATAATCTTCGTTCCATTCTATCCTGAATATTTGTTTAAATGCTAAAATATTTGTTACCATGAATATGTTTGTCAATCGACTATTACCATGACAACCTACCTTTTTGACGTCATTGTTATACAGAAGTAGGACAGTCTCAGCATGGTGCGTGTCGAATCCTTTCTCCGACAAGTTGTTCACTCCACAAAGGTGTTCAATCACCTAAAGACAATCAACTGGATTTTAGCATATATTTATGTTGTAAGACAAACAACATTCTATCTATTGCTTCCTCTCTTACAAATGTTCCCATCTTACTTCATATCCTTCTGAATCAATAGATAAAAGATAATATAGGTTTTATATCAGTATTATGTAGATTTTGTTTTAAAAATCCCTTTTTATGCTTGTTTGTTTGATTTCATAGCAATATTCTGTTTTTAAAACAGAACGACTGAGTTCCGGTTGTTGTGGAATTAATAATTTTTATATTATTACTTATGCTGTAATTTGGACATATGAAAAATATCAAATATTCTTTTCACTTGATGAAATATAAACTGGTATTCATCGCGAACTGTACTACACAAATAAATTGAATTTTATATGAAAATCACGATGTGTGTTGTTCAAAATAAATTCAAGGGAGATAAACTTCCTACTTTCTCCTTTAAACTTTCTGACCCAATGGTGGTCATCGCAGACTTCTTATTAACCAAATGAACTAAAATAATCACGTTCAGGACCATGATGTCATGATTCAGATCAAGGTGGGTTACCATTGACCAATGGAAGTTGAGACAATGTTGAAATAAAAATCACTTGTCGAGGGCAATGCAATAATAACACATGCATAAAGTTTTGTCAAAATGGGAATTAAGACAAAAAATAACTCAACAAATCATGCATCGATCAGATGCCTGGGTGAAATCTTGAATTTTCAAATCCCTACGAGTCCAGTCGCTCTGCTCCGAGGAAGCCATCTTCCGTTTATAGGACATTGCATCATCCCCTTCATCAAGGGAGGCTCTTTGTCAATTTTGGTATATTCTGGTTCAGTCCCACTCCTCTGACTCCAAGGGGTCACCGTTTATTAATACAACATACCTAACATCACCTAGGGGTGGTCCATTGGTCAAAATCCCTCCATTCAAATTTAAGAAGTACCCAGGTAGTCTTTTCAAGACTAAATGATATTTCCCCTGATAAGCCATAATCCCAAAGGGCCACATTTATGCAAACATTTTATTCCCTTGGCCCAGGGATGATCAATGCCAAATCAAGTTCACCCTCAAAATTCTTGACTTTTAAAGGAAAAGTTGACGATACATAATGTGCCATGGCATAAAGATAACTACATTTCAAAATAAAGAGGGTAAATTGTTTCTTAAGAATAAACAAAGTTTTAAATACGAAAAAACTGAAGAACTTACTTCCTTGTCATCCTTCCCAAACTTCTCAACAGCACGTGCAGAACGGGGTTTGGAGAAACCCATACTGACAAAGTTGTCGACGGCACGCTGAGCTTCTGGTGACAAACGAAGGTAGGGGTCAATTTCTGACGGGCTGGCAAGGTCACTGCTACTACTACTCTTGGAGGAGCCGGGCATGGTTTCTAGGTTACTGGGAATGGTGACGGGCAGAGGCTGATACTTGTTCCAACTCTGTAATATTGAAACATTTCATTGACCTTGACCTTAAATCATCTACTTAAAATCATGAATTTCACAACTCGGATCTAAAACATTTCCTACGACTGCATATCTAAACAGATAAGCAAAGGAATGGATTACTTTAAGAAATTACCAAAATACTGAAATTCATTGATATATTATTACAGGAGACATTAAAAACAAATATTTGTTTAAGTTTTATCTTTTCTGTGTAGGTGGAATTTTTAAGCATTCTTGAGTTAATAGATCTACTATCTATGTGGTATTTAATTGATACTCTATATCCTACTTTAGCCCTTCCTGGAGGTGTTGTAAGTGGGACACGGTACCCTATATATATCCTACTTTAGCCCTTCCTGGAGGTGTTGTAAGTGGGACACAGTACCCTATATATATCCTACTACAGCCCTCCCTGGAGGTGTTGTAAGTGGGACACGGTACCCTATATATATCCTACTACAGCCCTCCCTGGAGGTGTTGTAAGTGGGACACGGTACCCTATATATATCCTACTACAGCCCTCCCTGGAGGTGTTGTAAGTGGGACACGGTACCCTATATATATCCTACTACAGCCC